ATATTTCAACTTCATTGAGCTACGGTAGCTCTACTGGGACATTAAGAAAATAGATTTTTTATTTTTGAGAACTGATTCAGAAACTTCCATGTCTTTGATGCATCTAAAAATAGATTTTCCCTCCCACCTCTACGTTCATGGCAGAATGTTAGAATGAAAGTTGTATTTCTGTTGCTTATATAAAATGTATATATTTTTTATTTTTCCAGCAAGGCTTCATTTATTATTTTTACATTATTTTGCATTGTACACATTTTCTAAGCATTTAAACAATGTATTTGATGGAAGTCTTTGGCAGAAGGACTGTTATTTGCAGCACCACCGCTCTCGTATAATCCTCGTGCCCACATATTTACAGTCTGTCTGCTACCTTTCCAGCTGGTAATCAAAACCACTACACGACCCAGGGCTTGTGGGTAATCGTCGGCCTGTTTGCCTTCCTTCTGCTGGAGAAAATGTTCCCGGACCAGGACGGCCACGAGGATGCCACCTCAGAGTCAGACCTGAATTTTAACCTTTCTGTGAGTAGTCGCTCCTGTCTCGCACGTCGGTACAAACCTCCACATATTTCTGTTGTCATTGGCATGCTGTGCGCAGATGCTATCATGCTTAGTCTGCATATCTGTCAGTGGAGATTTAGTGACAGAAGCATCTGATGACCTCTGGTACTCCAGAGAGTGCACAGCAGTACAGTACATATAAAAGAGAGGCTGTCACATTCTGCTTCCTCGGGGTTAGTTCACTGCTTTCTGCCTTAACAAAACAAGACATTTTTAGCATTTTTTTATTTCTAATTTTTATAGATGGACTAGTTTTGCTTGCTTTGTCAGTCGCTGTCAAAGATGTAAGGGTGATTGTTTTTTTTATGATTTTAATGACACTCAAAAAATAACTGTCAGTGTGCCATGATCTGATAACCTTTTGAACAGTTCAAATGAGTTAACCAAAACAAAATGGCTATAACCTAGAGAATTTTGCGGATATTGAGCTAAAATTTGGTATGGTAGTAGCTGAGAGTCATTCACAAACTATACTTACAGTACTAACATATGTGAATATAATGCATAAGATTGCACATGTTATTATCAAGGTTTATTAAAGTGCCTGTGACATGCATAATCTTCAAATACAAAAAGTCAAAGAAAACATCTTTATATTTAAGAAAGTTGGAATAATACACATGATTTAACCCGTTTTGTCCCATAACTGGCATATTTTCTTTTGAACTTGGCTCAGCCTAAGTGAAACAGGAAGTGACATCAAAGGGGAACTCTTTAACAAAGAAAACTCTCTAGTCTTTGTTTATTGAAACAATATTATTTGAACTCTGACTCTTCTTCATCTCTCTGATAGAAACTCAAAATAATCTACAGAAACATCAGATTCTTCTCTACAGYCTGTGTTATTAGCTATTTTAGCATTGCTCTGTTCACATGTAGACATTCCCCTTTGACATCACTTCCTGTTAATTCACAGGCAAATATCCCAACAACTGTTCATCTCAGCAACATGAAATTTCTTTTGCAATATTTTATCAATGTCCTCTTTCTAAAAATGCATTCATATGCATTAAAAAATTTTATGTCACAGGCACTTTAAGGTTGAACAGAAACGTCCTTTTTTAATTTCAGATGATCTCAGTCTAAAACTTTGGCACAAAAGATGACGGGAGATATGCATTTGTTGAAGGACAGTTAGGCCTTTAATACTAGTATTGTGCTGCAGTAAGAGCATCTTTAGCATCAATTATTTTAGTTTATTTAAAGTTAAGCCTTTTAACTTGCATATTTAAAGTAATTTAGTCCACAGGTTTGTAGCTATTCATATTAAGTTTAATTGCAATGTTAAACGTAAATAAATGTTGGGAGCAATGTTCTTCAAAATATAAGCCAATCAATTAGAGTAAATGGTAATGAGAGTGGTTCTTTAATGTCTGCCTGTTATATGGTTGTAAAGGCACTCTTATCCTTCCTCCTGTCCTTTTTTTGCCATTGAGGAGAATATTTTGAATCCACGTCTCAGCTCCTCTTGTGTCTATTTTTAGTGCAGGGATGAAGCAGCTGCTTCATGCATTTCAGTGTCCACAGAAGAACACTTTAGGCTGAGGCAGTGAAATGCAGGGACAGAAGAGTGTTTTCTACTTGAATATTCAGCGCGACATAAAATAAATAAATGTAACTTGATGGATATAAAACCGGATTGATTTTTAAATTAGTGCATTATGTGTGGAGAATCGCAGCCATCAAAGGAAACAGCCAGGATGTTATGCTCTGATTTCAGTTATTTTTTTCGACTTGATACATTTTTAAATTTAAAAGAAGTTGAAATGTGTTTTTATGCAGACATTTTGACTCCAATCTGTTGGAGGAGGTCGTCGCCCTGCGTTTGATCACTGTATTACTTCCCCATCATGGTTCAGGCGCGGACGTGAAGCAAACATTTCCCCGTGGCGCTGAAAGAACTGCAGYTTTTTTTCCCCTTCTCGACACTTTTTTTGACCATCACTTTAAATAGCGACAGAAGTGGTTTCTGAATGATGGAACAGGGAAGTTGGCTATTTTCAGAAAACAGAAKTTTTACCTTAAAATGAATAAGTTTTTTTTGTTGTTGTTGAAGCTTTAACAACCATCTGTTGTACAAGATTTTTATTCATTTTATTTTACAATGAATTCCATAGAAATGTCCAAAAAATGAAAAGCGGCCATCTTGTTCGTCACATGGTTGAGATTCAGACAGAAAAGTAAAACRAACTGTTGACAGAAAAAGACATGAGCAGGTAAAACGTTTGTTTTTCTTCACAGATGCAGTCCACTTCAGCTCTCTGTGTAAAAGCAGAAGCGTCACTCAAAAATGGACTCTGTGCCGATTCGTGGAAATCCTCCAAGCAGCAGAGTCTGCAGGATCGAGCAGAAAAAATCAAGGTAATGTTTAAAACCAAAACATGTTGCTTGTTGATGAATTCTGATAGGATAATGGTACAAAAATTTGACTAAATGTTAGATTATGATCTACTGAAAGTGAGACTGAAGCTGGATGGTAAATGTCCTGACACTGTTTTACACCTTGCTTTTCTCAGCTCAGCAGCAGTTTTGTTTTGTTGTTTTTGTGTTTTGTGACAGACAAGTGGATACCTTAATCTACTCGCCAACTGCATCGACAACTTCACCCACGGACTGGCAGTGGCTGGGAGTTTCCTGGTAAGCAAAAAGGTAAGAAACTGTGCCACTAAAACAAACAAACAAAAAAAACATTCAGTTCCATAAAATGCAGGATGTTGCTGAAAAAGCCTTGAGAACACTCTACAGAACATCTGGAGATTAAACAACTTTAAGGTACCTGTGACATCAAATTTTTGTAATACAAATGAACACATTTTTGAAAAGATGTCATTGACAAAATATTGCAAAAGAAGTTTCATGTTGCTGAGATAAGCAGTTGTTGAGATTTTTGCCTGTAAAGTAACAGGAAGTGATGTCAAAGGGGAATGTCTGAATGTGAACAGAGCGTAGCTACAACAGCTAATAACACAGACTGACGAGAAGAATCTGATGTTTCTTAAGATTATTTGGAGTCTATCAGAGAGATGAAGAAGAGTCAGAATTCAAATAATATTGTTTCAATAAACAAAGACCAGAGTTTTCTTTGTTAAAGAGTTCCCCTTTGATGTCACTTCCTGTTTCACTTAGGCTGAGCCAAGTTCAAAAGAAAATATGCCAGTTATGGGACAAAATGGGTTAAATTGTGTGTATTTTTCCAACTTTTTAAAATAAAAATGTTTTCTTTGACCTTCTGTATTTGAAGAATATCACAGGAACTTTAAGTGTCAAAGGGGAGCCGAAAAAGCAAAGTAAAAGTTTTATTTTTTTATTTTTTTTTTACCAAGAATTTACTGACATAAAATAAGTGATGGGGCCGAGAGATGAATCTGATGGTTCTTGTTCTTTCTCAGGGTGGAGGGGGATTAGTGGTGTGGGCTGCTGGGTAAATTAAAGTCTCAAAGTTTCTGCTAGAAAAAATTACTTTCCTGAAAAACTGGACAGAAACTAAGGTATTAAAAGACTCCATGACTGAAAATCCGCTGACAGTTATTAAAAAACGATAAATTTTAGCTACACAATGGGGGAGCGTGGTTGGAGCACTGAATCACGTAAGGCTAAAGAAAGATTCTGGTAAATTTAGACGTTTAAAACCTGTGAATTTTCTGCTTTGCTTCATATTCAGATCCAGTTAATCCAGTGTTGTGTCCATTTTCTTAAGACCCTCCACGGGCTGCTCAGTACAAAACACACACCCATTTGCTTAAATTTAAATCATTTTTTTGTTTTGTTTGTTGTGATAAAGGCAGGCGTAAAGGTGCATTTTTACACTGCAGTACCTTAGATTTGTACCGCTCCAGTAGGTTACTGTACGTTTGTATCTGCGGTACAAGAGTCCATCTGGAGAGACAGAAGGCTAACAGCATGAAGTGTGGAGCAGCGTGCCAGAGAGGAAGTTCACTCCATATTTCAGCCGTACAAGACATCTCACCGGAGATTTGTTTACTTCTGGTGCATTCATCAAAACTGTAATTTTTGCCACTTTTTGATGCGTTTTCCCGTGTAAATATTGATCCGGTGGTTCTGAGACTTCATTAGAAGTTTAGTAGGTTTGAATTTCGGGTGCTGGGTGCTTATAAAGAGTTTTTAAAAATATATGAAATATTTAATTGAGCTCCTACCTTCTTTTAATCGACTGATTTTATTTTATCTAAGTCTCCTTAGTTTGTCTTTTCACTCATTAGATTTCCTTCACCTTGAATTAAATTTTACCTTGTACAAATTTATTTATTTGGTTTTTAGTATTTGTACCCTTTGCAGTTAAATTTCACTAAAAAGGAAGACCCCCCACCCAAAAAAAAAAATTAAAATAAAAATGACAAAAAAACTTTTATGTTCCAATTTATTGGAACATTATTATCCTTAATTGTTTAAAACACATTTCCAGCAGAAATAGATTTACTAAATTGCAAATAATCTTTTTAATAACCTAATTACATATTGGCAATGCCTTTAATTGAACTCAGTTTTTGGTGTTTTTATTGACGAAGCAGTTTTAACAAGACGTTTCTTGCAGGTTGGTTTCCTCACCACCTTTGCCATTCTTCTCCATGAAATCCCCCATGAGGTAAGAAAACAAAGATCTTAAAGGACTTATCGTATTTTTAAATCCTTTTGTCACATTTAAATACTTCAGTTGAGGTCTATATAAAGTGGAACTGCAATACTTTGGTCTGAATTACTCCTTATTGTAACTCCACAAGCCCCTCTTTCAGCTCTTTTYTGAGGTGTGCCTCAGATCAACTCGTTTTGAGGCTGTCTCTAAGCCCCGCCCACCTCCACAGCTTCCAAACCGATCCATTCTAGTTTGATGGATTTACGATTAACCACATGCGCAGAAACTGAATGATTTAAATGTAAAAGCCTCCTTTAAATTCAGAAGTTTGCGTAAAAAAACCTGTTGTGTCGTTCACGTGTTGGAAGTAACGCTATCCTCCACAGGTGGGAGACTTTGCCATCCTGTTGAGGGCGGGGTTTGATCGCTGGAGCGCCGCTCGCATGCAGCTGTCCACGGCTCTGGTCGGGGTCCTGGGAGCCTGTTTCGCGCTGTGCGCTCAGTCCCCGAAAGGCACAGGTAAAAACATTTTACTTCAGAACTGGACACCGGTTTGTACAGTTGACTGCATTAGTCGTGACTTCCTTTTAATGTTCGTAGAAAATGCCACAAGCTGGATTTTGCCTTTCACYGCTGGAGGTTTCCTCTACATAGCCTTGGTGAACATTGTGCCTGAGCTGCTACAGGAGTCCAGTTTAAGGTACATTTTTCCTCTTGGCTGTTAAAACAGATCTAAACCAAACAGGAAGCCAGTTTTTACCAACAAAACAGTGAGTTGACGTTGGGAGGAGGATTCACACGTGTGTCCTTCTGAGTGATCCAGTTTGGACAKCTTGACAGCACATTTACAGAGCAGACAGCAGTAGTCACTGTCATGTTTAAAAATAAATTTCCCAATGTTTAATTTATAAGAAGGCTGCAGAATAAACCCGTGAATTTTCCAGGAGTGGGTGCATTCATTTTGTTAATGCTACTGCTGCATAAATAGGCTTAAATAGAGCAGAACCTGATCACAAATCCTACATTTGTGGTGTATTTAAAAGAACAAAAAACAACAACAAAAAAACCCCAGATAATTCTCTCTAAAGCCTTTCTAAATATAAAACTTGTGTTTCTTTCTGTTTCAGACACTCCCTGCTGCAGATCCTGCTTATTTTCTGCGGGGTRGCTATCATGGCTCTGCTTTCAGCCATCATTGACTGAACATGAAGGGATCGCCTCTTCTCGCCTTAAAAAAAAAGAAAAGAAAAGAAAACACTCCTCGTGTAGAGAAATCCTCTTCTTCTCCTCTTCTTTTTGTAACTCCTCGTTCATGGAAACATCGTCYGGATTCAGAGGCTTTGAGACATCATTGAGGTGTAACACTACGGCAAAGATCTGATGAAGAACAGCACTTTATGAGGGAAAGGACTCTTTGTCAGCGAGGACACTTTAAGATATCTTTGGAGATTAAAGAGGGTTTGTTTGAAAATCTATTCCAAATTTGCCTTTCAGACAATCACGATGCTTTGCACATATTTCCACAGGTACACTGCGTGTAGATGCTCAGAACAATGGAAATAACCCTGGATTTACAGTGCATGTGGCTCCGCTGCGCTGCGTTGCGCAGTTCGCAGTTGTTCCTTTGCAACCCAATTTATACAGCGTCCGCTCCGGTGCGACACATAGGAGGGAGGGTGTGCAGGAAGGAGGTCGCGCAATAAATCACGTGATAAATGTGGAATTTAGAGCAAAAAATAATTCTGTGAAAGATGAACTCCAAACACAGCTGAAAACATAGATATAAAAGCTTTTGATATCTATGGTTGAAACTGTATCACTGTCATCTTTTTGAAACTTCTGATTTCAAAATAAAATCCACGTATATCATGTGTGTACACATATGCTTCATGCTACATGTTGCCATCTACTTCCCAAACAGAACGATACATTCTGACAGCATTTGTTTAGAAATATATCCATATATTGATTAATATAGCTGGGATTTTGAAAAAAACCATTCAGCCTTATCGTGTCTTATTTTGGAAATACGGCTGTTGTGCTTGTTCTCTTTCCTGTTGGAGCGATGGGATCTCTGTAGATCTCCGGTGCAGCTCCGGCGTCTGGCAAAAACAGCCKGTTCGGATGTTATCAGTCCATTAAATGGACATTATTAGCGGTTATTAGTCCCATAGAATGGCTTCAGACTGTCCAGAYRGTACCCCCTAGTGGGTTACCAGTGCCATATACATTGGAATGCAACCGCCGTAGTGCAGTCGAATTTATCGTAGCCCATGCCATTTTCTCTAAAATCAACCTTAGTGGTTTTATGCTTCATATTAGYCAGATTGCATAAAAAACCTTAGTGGCTTTATGCCTCATTAGGGTTGGGCAATATTGGCAAAATAGTCATGATTAATTGTGGTATTTACCCGATAATGACTAATTTGTTGATTAATCCCCTGTAGTCCCTGGACACCCTTATTTCGTAGTCACATGACCAATTTAGTGGGAAAGATGTGCTCTTTGTAAAAAATTGTTCCAAATTGTGTGAAAATTACAGATTTCAGGCTATACGTCATGTTTTAAATTGTGTTGATAGATAAATAAATTACAGAACTTTATTTTTAATGTTCGTCATATTCGAAGCAGAGAGGAGCACCAAGCAGACTGACCGGASTAATCCCCAGTYAGTCTGCCTGGTGGCATTAATCGTCAAGTGCCAAAAAGTAATCGATTAATGTTTTTCTGATAATTAATTGCACACAATATGGTTATGCCCAACCCTATGCCTCATATTAACCAGCTGGCAGTCTGAAGCCATTCTATGGGACGGAGAACCCACTAGGCGGCACAGTTGGGACAATCTGAACCTATTCTATGGGGCTGATAACAGCTAATAACGTCCATTTAATGGATGATAACATCTGAAACGGGTGCGCAAAACTAGAATCGGTTCAAATTTTGGCAGAKCGCCGTCCACTCACCGCTGCCCTGCACCGCTGTGTGGAGCCAGTGTAAACACTCATATTGGGCCTCATGCAAGAACATTTTCGTATTCTTATCCTAAATTTCTCTTACYTTTGTTCGTACGAACTTGCCACGTCAGATTCAACAAACACTTCTGTCTTCAGGAAAAGTGTGTAAATGAGCTGTGTAAACTGATGAATGCATATGCAGGTGCTTGTGCATGAGGAGAGGAGATTTGCTATAGTTGTAGCAGGTGTATGCAGGTGCTACCACCCCAAAAACACTATATAAGGCGTTCCTGCCTCAGATACCAGGAAGTCCATTCGTAAATGACATCGCAAAGTAAAAAGAAGAACTTTACAAGTTCAGAGATTGAAGTCCTGCTCWCAGAGATCCAGAAAAAGAAAAATCTATTATTTTAGCAGCATCAGCTGTGGAATTAAAGGACCTGTTAATGTGACTCCCGAAGGTCGTATACAGTCCCCCACCATCGCAAGTGTCAGATCATATTAACATTGTAGTGTTATACAACAGCATTAATAGCCAATTTAATTTAACCAATTTATTACATTTAAAATCATAATTCCAATTCAAACAGAACAGCCTACTGTCAACATAATTATGGAGTGTGATTTATTTTCAACTCTAAATATCTTCAAACTAATGAAAGTTATTAATGAAGCAAACCCATCTGAATAACAGCAGACTGACTGCTCGTAAAATATACAACAGGTCTGGACCACTCGTGAATTTTGTTCGTGTTTGAAGAAAATCTTATAATATGAGAAAACTGGTGAATTAAGTTCTCCTAAATCACTCGTACGCACAACTTAAGAACAAATCTGTATGAACGGTTCTTGCATGAGGCCCATTGATTAGAATAGATGCGTATTTGCTGCSGAGGTYGGACCACAGCGCAGCACAGCAGAGCCGCATGTAGTGTAAATTAGGGGTAACTCTTGTTCATAATGTCTCATTCAACCCAAGTTTCTGAAAAGTTTCCTGTTTTCTTACTGTGTTCTATATTTCTGTGTATTTATTGAAAGTGAGAACAGAGTTTCATCACTAACTGTATTTTTCTGCCTCGTGTTGAGGGGGTGGGAGAAAGTGTTTCTGATCAGAACCAAAGTAGCTTTTATCTGTTCGGCTGTCGTTTAGCACCTTCTTAACACAAGCGGCTGCTCGTACTAGTTCTYAAAGACATAAAAATATATATTGTTTACCAAAGGTTAAAGTTTAGTTACCTCTTGTTAACTGTTGAAGACTGGGTCAACCACAAAAGAAAAGTACATGTTGTTTTTAATCGACTTTTAAATAAACTCTAAATTTGACCACATTAATGCTAAAATATGTCTTTGTTTTTAATTTGAGGGGAAAGCGATGATACACGCTGGCAATCTGAATAAAAGCAGGTGGCAGATTTGACGGCAGATGAATTTCAGCGTCTTGAGTAGACGGCTGTAAATATGCTGACAAATCGGACTGATCTGACCTCACTGCAAAAGGCAAGTCCACTGTGTTTRTTATTTTACTGCGGAGGGACGGAATTGTCATATGGGAGTAGTGGTGGGAGTGGCGGTGGGGTGTGTGTAAGTAGGGGGGTGGGAATGACTGTATGTTCACACTTGTCCAATTTCAACAGTGTTTTTGGCAAACTGCAGTTGCCATAACGACTCCGCAGCAGGTTRCCTTCCTTAGTCATCAGGCTTTGAGCAGCTTTTTGTCTATGGGAGCTTTTTATCTGTCACAAAAAAAAACAAAAAAACAAAACATACTGTTTCCACTGTAGAGGAAGACGTACAAACTCCCTTGAAAAAGAGATCTGAGATCTCAACGGGACTTGCCTTTTTAAATAATGGTAAATAAAATAACTTCAAGATTATAGGAAAGATGCTGCTATTTTGATTTTGATAAAATGAAATATGAAAAATACTTTTCTATTTATGCCATTGACATG